ATACACACGCTGCCCCCCATACACACACTGCCCCACATACACACATTGCCCCTAGACACACACATTGCCCCCCATACACACACGCCCCACATACACACACTGGCCACCATACACACACTGGCCCCATAAACACACATTGCCCCACACACATACACTGCTCCCCACACACATACACTGCCCCCACACACATACACTGCCCCCCATACACTTAGATTGCCCCCATACACACATTGCCCTACACATAGCCCTACACATACACTGCCCCCCCATACACACATACACTGCAATACACACACACACACTGTAACTGTCACACACACATACTGACCCACACACACACTGCACCCCTGACATATACTGCCGCCCTCACTTACACACTGCAACCTTCACACACACACTGCTCACACACTGTCCCCCTCACACATACAAACACACTGCACCCCTCACACATTGCACCACTCACACATACCACTGCTCCTCTGCCCTACTACAGCCCTATTTCACAGAGGACCTCAGGTAAGTTGTCAAACTGTTCTTAAACGGTTTGACTACTTACTCTTGGAGGGTGTCCCGGCACTATTGGCACAATAACCACTACACTGAGCTGTAGTGGTTATTGTGTCTGAATTATTTATTTAAATAATCTACAAGTGCCCCTCCCGAGATCAGGCTCTGGATCCGCCACTGTATCAAACGAGGCATAAAGGTGAGGCCAGAATAAAATTAATAAAATTATTTGACTGTGTTAATCTTTAATCTTCAGTCTCTCTCTCTCTCTCTCTCTCTCTCTCTCTCTCTATATATATATATATATATACAGTTGCAAGAAAAAGTATGTGAACCCTTTGGAATGATATGGATTTCTGCACAAATTGGTCATAAAATGTGATCTGATCATCATCTAAGTCACAACAATAGACAATCACAGTCTGCTTAAACTAATAACACACAAAGAATGAAATGTTGCCATGTTTTTATTGAATACTCCATGTAAACATTCACAGTGCAGGTGGAAAAAGTATGTGAACCTTTGGATTTAATAACTGGTTGAACCTCCTTTGGCAGCAATAACTTCAACCAAACATTTCCTGTAGTTGCAGATCAGACTTGCGCAACGGTCAGGAGTAATTCTTGACCATTCCTCTTTACAGAACTGTTTCAGTTCAGCAATATTCTTGGGATATCTAGTGTGAATCGCTTTCTTGAGGTCATGCCACAGCATCTCAATCGGGTTGAGGTCAGAACTCTGACTGGGCCACTTCAGAAGGTGTATTTTCTTCTGTTTAAGCCATTCTGTTGTTGATTTACTTCTATGCTTTGGGTCATTGTCCTGTTGCAACACCCATCTTCTGTTGAGCTTCAGCTGGTAGACAGAGGGCCTTAAGTTCTCCTGCAAAATGTCTTGATAAACTTGGGAATTCATTTTTCCTTGCTTGATACATGGCAGTGAGGGGGGCTCTCATTCCCTGGTGGTCCAGTGGATGGGCTGTGTAGGAGGGGGGCTGGCAGAGAGCTGTACCTTACCTTTCCTGCAGCTCCTGTCAGCTCCCTTCTCCTGCCCTCCGGTCGGCTCCCCTGTCAGCTCCACTGTAAGTCTCGCGGTGTGACTGCCGCACAGAGCATTGCCACGGTAACCCACGGCTCTCGCAAGACTTACAGTGGAGCTGAAGGGGAGCTGATGGGACTGGAGGAGAGAGAAGGGAGCTGACAGGAGCTGCGGGAAAGGTATGTTACAGCTCGCTGCCAGCCCCCAACAGGACTGCCGGGCTTGTAATGAGCCCAGCGTTCCTGGTCTGTATTATGACAATGTAAGTTAGAGGGAACACAAAAAAAATAGAGGGAACACAAAAATAACACATCCTAGATCTGAATGAATTAAATATTCTTCTGAAATACTTTGTTCTTTACACAGTTGAATGTGCTGACCACAAAATCACACAAAAATTAAAAAATGGAAATCAAATTTTTCAACCCATGGAGGTCTGGATTTGGAGTCACACTCAAAATTAAAGTGGAAAAACACACTACAGGCTGATCTAACTTTGATGTAATGTCCTTAAAACAAGTCAAAATGAGGTGTGTTACATCAAATTAAAGCCCTTTTCAGTGACTCGAGTATAAGACGAGTGGGGGTTTTTCAGCACAAAAAATGTGCTGAAAAACTCGTCTTATACTCGAGTATATACGGTAGATCTGAAGTTTAATGTTGGGCACAGGGACACAAAGGGAATAAATCAATAAGAACCGTAATTAACTATACGACACTCCCATAACACACATACAATCCCTCCCCTCTGCCTGTGATATAATTAAGGTAGTTAGTACATTAACTTAATGTAAACATAACATATCCCCATAAAAGTCACATCGCCTGATAGCCCTGATCTGGGTGAACAACATATCCAAAAAATCACCCAGATCAGAGCAGGGGTTCAGGAAATTCCTGGAAGTCTCTTTTGACCGACCTCACGCATGGTTTCAGGCCCAAAACAGTTCCAGAGATTTAGGCTGTGTGGCCGGTCTATTTTAAACAGTTGAAGTACCGTTCGAATTACCGAACGTAATGGTGAATGGCCATAGTTATTGTGTGTCCCTTGTTCGTGGGCTTCGACTCACGGAACACCGTTCCACTCCCGTTTGAATAGTCAAAGTTTCCTGGAAGGTAACTGTTCAGCGGTGTTCATGCCGTTGCGTGTCCGATTTGAGTTCCATGAGCTCAACCACAAAATACAGCTGAACACGTTCGACCAAATAAGATGGCTGCCGCCACGTGTTCGACTATACGAATGGTGGCCACTTCAACTACTTCGACTGTATCCGAAGTGCCACTTCGACCACTTTGAAGGTTCGAGGAACCATTGTGCCAAGTCCCAATAGGCACAAATAGTGTCTGTCAGCCACAATAAGGGGCCATAGTCACAGGATAGGAGGCTGGCAACCAGGCCTCTCCAAAAACCAGTGGCGAGGTCACTTTCGCAACACCATCTATCCATCCATCCATCCATATCTTTCCATAACTGATTAATCTTGTCTGTAAAATAGTATGCACATAAATTATTTGTAGTGTTAGTATGGGGGTTGGCCACATCGTGGCAAAGTAGAGAGTTAAAGTTATCAAAGAGAAGCCTGACATAGTGAGAGCATGTACTAGTGAGAGAGAAAAAATATGATTGTTTAGCTAGCAAGAGGACTGCGCTGTACAAGCATAATATGAATTTGTGATACAGAAAGTCTAACAAGGTGAGAGACTTCTTCCAGTAGCGCTCAGATAAGAGGGATTATTTATGTAGGTAGCAAGTTGACTTAGTATGCAGTTGTTGTAGACGTGACCACCTTGAGGTGTATGTTTTGAGCAAGACTGCTTTGTCCAGGGCAACAGTGAGGGTATTGTTGTACAAGGAGATCGATATAGAGGGTAGTGTTGTACAAGGAGATAGCCAGAGATGGGTGTGAGTTGAGAATGCAGATCAGCTGACTGTAGTTGAAGGTCTCTAGAATTAAGGTTCCTTCTGCATCGAGGAGGGGTAGGCTGAGAATGTTGAGTGAGGGGTCTCTCAAGAGGTGGTAATCTGAGAGAGGAAATAGAGAGATGAAAGAGAGGTAGCCCACTGGGATAGCCCAGAGGTAGAAGTATGTATGCGTGTATGTATATTTTATTTCCAGTGTTCTTTAAGTAGTTTTAGTTAGAGCAATGCAGTGTTCCCCTGGAATATCCAATTTTAGCATTAGATTTCTGTCGCTATGACACCCTATTGTTAGTTGCCCTTATCTAAACTGTTGTTGGTGAGGGTTTCTGGCAGTTATTGACCTGTGCACTTTCCTTGGCTATACCATGCAGAGCTCTGATTGGTGTAACTAAAATCCGTTAACAACATATTAATAGGAATAATAACATAATTACTTATTATATTATTATGAGTGCAGCCTAGGAACATTTGTCTTCTTTCTAAGGGCTGGTACTAAAGAAAATTTCCACATTATCCTTGGGCCTGTTACTTGTTGTGTTGCATTCAAGTTTATACAGAATGGTGTGTAGTTTTCCAGAACAGGCACCGAAATCATTCTAAATTGGAATATACCCGTAAGATACACAGCTACATCACACCTCCAGCACCTTCCCAGGCAATCTGTAAATATCCAACAAATGGCTTGTGGCATATACTATCACATCGACCTAAAGATTTATAGTTGGACTCTGAAGGCCTATCAGCTTAATAGATTTTTTAACGTGCACATTGTAGTTTTAATGTCTTGCTAAAAAAAACTATCCCTTTTATTTCTACCCCGCTGAAATCAATAGATCTCTTTACCACAACTTGCAGAGATAAGAAGAATATGTTTTTGCTGCCACGATGACACTGTCCATTATTAAACCAATAAAATAGAATGACACACAGAGCACTCAGCATAGGTGTTTCTGCACAGGATGCTAATTAACAAATTGTTGTTTTTCTTGACATGGTATTTAATCTTAAAGCCAGCTTTCTGGTTAGAGAGCACTGTGCTGCTATCAAAATTACCAACACCACAGGATATACAATCCAACAGTTGTGCCGTTACCATAGCCAATACACAAGTTACATTGCCTTAATTATAGGCTTATCCCCTTAAAGTGGACCTTTCCCATAAAAGCAGCTTTGCATTTAATGTCTCCGGCTAATACTTTGATAATGGATGTGCCGAGTCTTACACAAGGCTTAAAACAAGTTTAAAAAAAAAACCAAACAACTTACATAAAATAAACGACCCAAACAACTTACCATGGCAGCCTAAAAAGAGACATTTATTTCTTCATAAATTTTCAGTATAACTCTGTCTATAGAATGTGTTTATTTTTTCTTTATAACATTTGGAAATAGTAAATGATACATATATTCTCATTCTTCTCACATTTTTTTTTTTTTTTTTTATTGTAGTTTATGAGGTACAAACAGTAAATGTGCATTTTCGGTATGTACAATCATCAGTTTTCACAATGGTATCCTCTACATTCAGTTTACATAAAACTTAATTCTGTTCCAGTGTTTACATACTGTCCAAGTTTTACATATCCTCCAGTATCACAAGGTGTAAAAAGAAAAGTTAAGCTCAAACTCAGCATTCATTACTAGTATACCCGGTAAATGTAGTACAGCAAAACAACACTGCCAGTTGGGGTAGCTATACAAGTTTGAGCTCCATGTTCTCATTTTCCCTTACCCCCTCTGGCTGTGGCTTAATTTGTCCACCAGTCCAGGGTGTCAATGTTATATGTATATCGTCTTACTCCTGATGATTCTTTTGTTCGTACCTGTTTTTATCTATGTTGAGAACAATAACTAAAGCTAAAACTAAACGTAACGTGAACTGGGTGGTGGGAAGGGGGGAGGGGGGGGGGGAGAACATAAGTTCTCGGTATTTCCCCTGTACATATTTCGCTCGTTTTCCAGAGATTGTGTCTTGTCTCTCATCTGATTTGTTTCATTCCATGTCTATATTCCACATTGTTTTTTAGGGTGCCTATATGCGTCCCACATTTGCCATGCGTCTATCCAAAACTTTTGTGGCGCCCTGTGTGCTCGCACCGTACATTCATAAAGTCTAATATTATCTAGATGTGAGGCTATTGTGTCTAATAGTGGGGGATCCTTTTGAAGCCACGCCTTGGCCATAGCTGTTATCACCGCTATGGTTACGTGGAAAAGTAGGTATTGTTGGGATTTTAAGAGGCCTTGTGGCATATGTTGCAGAAGGAATATCTCAGGCATGAATGCCACGTCCATCTTTCCTATTTGTTGCACAAGGGAATGTACTGATCTCCATAGTTTTGTAATGACAGGGCATGTCCACCAAATATGTATGACATCCCCTGTGGCGTCACCACATCTCCAACACGCCCCCGTCTGTTTCGGGTCAATGTGTTTCAGCTTGGTGGGTACCATATGCCATCTGTACAGCATTTTTCTCGACATTTCTATCTGGGCTGTGGATAGTGTTAGGTGTTTATGGGCCATGAAACTTTTACGCCAGTTTTCGTCTGGTAATTGTTTCCCTATGTCATATTCCCAGTTTTTAATAAAGGTCAGGTCTCTTATCTTTTTTATGGGTAAATAACTGCTATATACTTTGGAGAGGATACCAGCTGTTTTATTAGAGTTAGTGCACAGTTGTCGTAATGCCTCCATATTTCTCTTTGTTTCTGCGGTGTATGGTGACCCTCTATTTCTTCCTATCCACGATATTATCTGTCTATGTGCGAACTCCGCTGCAGGTGGTAGTTGGAACTCTTTTTGTAGTGAAGTAAAGGCTATGTATTTATCATTATCCATGAGTTGGTGTAAATGTGTTAAGCCTGCAGTGGTCCATTTTCTAATATTTAGTTGTGGGATCAGTGCTTCAAAAGAGCGTAGGAGCATTGTTGGTGGTAGCTTCGTGTCAAGATTCAAGAATTTTGTATATTTATCCCATTCTTTCAGTGTTAAGGACGTTATAGGGGAAATGTCTCGAAACTTTTTTCTGTGAGTTTCACTTATTCCCGCTAGTGTTGCAATGTCGTATCCCTCTGTGTGTGATGCTTCCAAGTGTACCCACGCCGGAGGCATGGAATAAGAGCGGAGTACTGCCACTAGTGTGCCAACTATCGCCGCTTTATAATATAGATCTAAGTTTGGGAGGCCCATTCCCCCCATTTTTTGCGGTAGGTAAAGTATATGTGCTGCAACCCTGGGCCGTTTTTTTGCCCAGACAAAGGCGTTAATTGTTTTCTGTGCGTCTTTAATGTATGCTGCAGGTAACTGTATGGGGAGGGTGCGGAATAAATATTGGAGCTTGGGAAGAACCATCATCTTGACGGCGGCTACTCTCCCAGTCCATGAGATATATTTGTTTTCCCAACCTTTAAGTTGGGTGTTGATAGAGTGGAGAAGTGTGATATAATTGGTTTGGAGCAATTTGTGTGTGTGAGTTGTGAATTTTATACCAAGGAAGGTAAGGTAATCTTGTCTCCATTCAAAGGCCGTGGTTAGTTGTAGGATACTGTTTGTCTCCGGTGTCGTGAATAGGCTCATTGCTTGTGTCTTAGTCGCATTGAGCCTGTAATATGAACAGTCGCTGTATGCTTTTAGTAAAGTATTAAAGGTTGGAATGGAGAGTTGTGGGTTAGTCAGTGATAGCATCACATCATCAGCAAATGCTGTTAGTTTGTATTCCCTTCCTCCTCTTACTATGCCCGTGATTTGTGGTTCGTCTCTAATAGTCTGTAGCAGCGGCTCCAGTGCTATGATATAAAGGAGTGGTGACAGTGGGCAACCCTGCCTAGTCCCATTGGTTATAAAAAAGGGTTGTGATGCGAACCCTCCATTTGTCACTCTAGCAGAGGGTTTGGAATATAATGCCGTTATTAGATTTAAAAATGGTTGTGGAAATTTAAATTTCCGAAGTGTTTCTTGCAGGAAGCCCCAGTGCAACCTGTCAAACGCTTTTTCAGCGTCAAGTGACAGGAATACACTGGGTTCTCCCCGCCGTTGCTTTGTGTAAAGTAAATTGTATAGCTTTCTTGTGCCTTCGGCCCCTTGTCTGCCTTTAACGAACCCCACTTGATCTTGTTTGATTATTGTAGGTAGCATATCTGCTATTCTTGTGGCATATAGTTTGGCTAGGATTTTGGTATCTGTATTTAAGAGGGATATGGGCCGTAGGTTTTGGGGTTTAGTTGGGGGCTTGCCTGGCTTCGGCAGGGTAACTATATGTGCCATCAGCATATCCTGTGGCATCTTGCCCGTGGAAATTATGTGGTTAAATGTGTCTACTAAATGTGGTCCTACAATGTGGCTAAATGTTTTATAATAAGAATTAGTAAGACCGTCCGGGCCCGGTGATTTGCCTGGGGGAAGTGATTTGATTATTTGTAGGATTTCAGACAATGTGACAGGGTCGCAAAGCCTTTTATTTTGGTCTTCTGTTAAGCTAGGCAGAGAGATATTAGATAAGAAGTTTTGGATGTCGTGTACGGACGGTTGGTATGTCTGGGGGTCTCGCTTTATGTTGTATAGTGTTTCGTAAAAGTTGGCCATCTCTGTTAGGATCTCCCGTGGATCATGCAGTTTTCTTCCTACTTTATTATGTAGGTATGGGATTTTTGTTTGGGCTTGTTTCTGTCTTAAGAGCGATGCCAAAGCCTTGCCAGCTCTATTGCCTTGAGTGTAAGTGCGTATTTTCAGTCTCTGTAGCATATGTGCTGTTTCGTCTAGGAGTAGCTCATTTATGTTTTTTGTGATAGATATTATATCCTGAGCCAAGTCTGCTGTAGGGGTTAGGTAGTGGGCTTTTTGTAAGTCCCTTAGTGTTTTTAATGAATCCAGATATTTTTGTTCCTTAGTTCTTTTTATATATGCCGCTCTACTGATAAAGATCCCTCTGACGACTGCTTTATGAGCTTGCCAGGTGGTTGTGGGTTCCAGTTCTGGTAAAGTATTATTTTGGAAATATTCACGCATGTCGTGACTTAGTTGAGTGCGGAAGTCTTTATGCATGATTAGGGCGTCATTTAATCGCCACGGGGGTTTCCCTTTGTGGTCAAAGTTAGTTTGCAACCTGACTGACACTGGAGCATGGTCAGACCACACTATGTCCCCAATCTCACTGTTTGTCATTTTTGGTAAGATGTCTGCAGTAACGAGAATCATGTCTATTCTAGAGTGGGTTTTGTGAATGTGGGAGAAATATGAGTAACCTCTTTCAGTTGGGTGTTGTATTCTCCATATATCGTATAGATTGTGTTCTAGGATTGCTTTGTTTAATGTTTTGCATTGTTGTGCGAGGAGTTTTGACCTGGGGGCGCCCTGGGCGAGAGATGTGTCTGCTACCGGGTGTAGAACATGATTCATGTCTCCACATACCAGCATTGAGGTTTTTTGTCTGATTGGAATTTTGTTAAGGACTTTAAGCAAAAAATTCCTTTGGTTAACATTTGGGCTATAGATCCCCACTAATGTGTATTTAATAGTATTAATAGTACAATAGATTATAAGATATCGGCCTTGTGTGTCTCGTTTGAGTTGCAACAGTTCAAACGTGAGAGATTTATGAAAAAGGAAAGATACTCCCCTGGATTTGGAGGAGTGAGTCGCATGAAATTGGGTGGGAAAGTCTCTTGTGCCAAAATCTGGGACTTTATGATGTTTAAAGTGCGTCTCTTGTATGCATAGGATATCTATATGATTGCGTTTCGCTGTTTCTAAAAGTACTCTCCGTTTATGCGGGGTGTTAAGGCCCCTTACATTATGAGATTGTATTGTCACACTCATTTGTGAATGAGAAGATGTTGCGTACAGGCCACTCAGGTTGTCTTGACCTTATTTCCGTATAATCTGTGGGATGTCTTTTCTGTATTGTCTTAACCCATATGTTTAGCAGAAGTGGCTTTTGTAGGTGTGTGTCACATAGTAGGGGAGCTTTTGTAGCGTCATATGCACTAGGAGTACGGGAAGGATAGGTATGTTGCGGGTGGTTGGGATGGGTGTAACTTGGTTCATTATAACTTACCCCATGAGGGGTCATGGCGCCCATCTGCGGAGCCATGGGGGGTAGATATCAAAATATCTGTGTGGGTGGCTAACGGCCTTAACATTCTGTATATATAGCATAGGACCTGGTTCTGTGGGTGGTGACCCATGTTAGTTTTAGTGTGATCTCTGGGGGGGGACCTCTTACCCGTCGCGGGTAACTCTGCAATAACCCGATGCAGCAAAAATTCTAAACATATTAATACATTTCTACAGTTGACAATTAACAAGTAACCCTTAGCGTCTATCGCCATGGGGAATAGATTTAGCTCCATTGGTTGCTCAATATAGCTTATACTTTTACAGTTCAGGTACTCCCTATCTCGGCTTCAATATACCTTGTACTGATGTGTTCAATAATAGGGGGTAATAGACATGTGTTCGTATGTGGGGTATTTTTTTTTTTTTGAGCATTTCAGTGTCCGGATATTGCCTGCTCGCATGTCGCTAATACCGTGAGCAGAGTGATTAATTAGCAGTTGTCAAACGCCCCGCCTTACCCTTTTGTCCCCTGTTGGATAACTAAGGACTCCTATCTTGTATTGTATTAAGCTATGATCTATATGAAATTCGGAATGATGCTGCAGACAGCATTTCCTTGTAAAAGTAGTTATGTGGGGGCAAAGGGTAAGCACTGGGTTAATTGAATATCATGGGATACGGAGGTTGTATCCCTTATGTCAGTGCACATGTTCGTGTGGTACCTGAACCCTCAAGCAAGCAAAGACTGCAACTATGAGTTCTTCAATGTCCCAATGCTTTCCTGGTCTCATCTGTGAATTTGTTCTCTGTGTTTGCAAGGAGGGATCATTCTTTTATGCGTCTGAAGCCCCAGGCATTCTTGAGGTCACTGTAGTATCCATGTCGTCGTGTCTCGTGGGTGATAGTTTCCATTAATCATATTCACTGTTTTGAGTCATGTTGTATAAAGTCAGAGTTTTTGGGGTTCCTTCCAGAGGTTTAAGGCACATTGAATGCCTAGGTGGTGTGTGTTAATTTAGTTTACAGGTCATCTTCTCCCTTTAGCAATGGTTTTAGTCAGCTCGGTGTGCTGGTATCTTGTTCCATTCTACCTGTAGTCGGCGGGAAGACATGTCCCCTTTCTCTGTTGCTTTGCACGTAATACCCCAGGTTTGTAGGAGTTTCACTCCGTCTTCTGGTGAGGAGATAGTATGTAGTTTGCCCTCTCGGGAGATGATCATTTTTGTAGGGTACCCCCATCGAAATCTCATGCCATTTGTTCTTAAGCTGTCCGCTATGTGGGAAAGATACTTTCTTTTTTTCAGTGTAGTAGCAGATAGATCTGCGAATATTTTTACTGAGGGGTAGTCGGGATGTGGAGCAGATTTATTCCTGCTTGATCGCAGTATTAGCTCCTTTATATGGTAATAATGCACTCGCGTGAGTACATCTCTTGGCACAGTTTCTGGCAGGTACCTTGGTTTTGGGAGTCTGTGAACCCGGTCTAGAAGCAGCATCTCCCCCGGTATATCAGGTGCATAGGCCTTAGCGAGGCCTCTTACGAATGCCTGCAAATCTTCTGGCCCGATCGACTCCGGGACTCCCCGCAGCCGCAGGTTGTTCCTTCTGGAACGATCTTCAAGGTCCGCTAGTTTCACTTCAGTCATTTTAAGTTGTTGCTCCATGTGCTCTACGTGGCTCGCAAGATCGTTATGTGCCACAGCAAAATCATCCATTTTGGACTCGACGTGTGTTGTCCGTTTGTTTATCTCTTGTACATCCCTTCGCAGTGAGTCCATGGAATGTTGCCAGGACATGATTAATTTCTGGGATAGGTTGTCAAGCGCTACTTGCAGGTAGCTTTTGGTAAGTTGGTCGGTTTGTGTAGCCAGTTCTGTGTCTTGTTGTGGATCTCGCGGATTCGGGCTGGCGCCGCCATCTTGCGAGGGCTGCATCTGCTCCGTGGCATCTGGTTGTAGTTTGTTGTTAAAAAAATTTAATTTTTCGCTTTTTGCAGCAGTTTTCTTTGATTTAGTTTGTGCCATCCTATATTGTGGCAATTTGCAGGTCCTAAGCAGTCGGATTGTGATGGATTGTCGGCCTCAGTAGCCGGAGCTCGGGTTCAAGCGACCATTAAGCTCGGCGGTTAGCCACGCCCCCTCTCTTCTCACATTTTAACAAACCCAGATCCAAGATCTATAAAGATTGTAATTAAAAAAAAGTGTACATATAAAATGTATTTTTAAATTTTTGTCATTTTCTTTATCAAAATGTAAATACAAATGAGAAAGGTTGCTTGGAAGTATATGTGAATTACACAAAATAGTTCTAACAAAATATTAAGCAGCTGGAGCCCTCATAACATTATACCATACAAAAAAGTAACAAAATAGTATGTGGGAAGTATTGTCCTTGTTCATTATACTGAGAAAAGAAACAATACAGTTTAGTTTTATAAACTAAAGTAAAAATAACTAGTGGCCATTCAGTATATGTAATAGCACACCCATGAAGGACAGAAATAAACAACAACAAAAAATCTATATGAATGATTAAATAAAAGACATCTACTATGAAACTAAGTGCACCAGTATTTTAAAAGGCGGGAAAAAAAATGCCACTTTCCTTTAACCCCCCCTAATGACCAAGACTTTTTTGTGATTTGAAGAATTTGTGACCAAGACCTTTTTGGCAATTTTACAATGCGCTATTCTACTACATCCTCAAACTTTCTGTTTAAGTGCACCCATAAATAGTATACACTGCTTAAAAAAATAGAGGGAACACAAAAATAGCACATCCTAGATCTGAATGAATTAAATATATTCTTCTGAAATACTTTGTTCTTTACACAGTTGAATGTGCTGACAACAAAATCACACAAAAATTAAAAAATGGAAATCAAATTTTTCAACCCATGGAGGTCTGGATTTGGAGTCACACTCAAAATTAAAGTGGAAAAGCACACTACAGGCTGATCCAACTTTGATGTAATGTCCTTAAAACAAGTCAAAATTAGGTGTGTTACATCAAATTAAAGCCCTTTCTGTCCTTAAAAAAACAATATATAATATGTGTCGGTGCAATAAGTTAGTAAAATGCAAATTGCAGGTGAACGTAAAAAGCAAAAAATGAAAAAAATGCTGTTGTCATTAAGTGAAAGACAAGCTTTTGAAGCTCTGTCCTTAAGGGGTTAAGTGTTCCCTTTATTTTTTTGAGCAGTGTATATACTTTTTTAAAGAAGAAATATGGCTTTATTTTGCATACATTTATGCATTTATTTATGCATACACAATGAAGTATTAAATATGAATACAATATGAAAAAAGTGTAAAACAAAAACACATTTTCTCAGTTTTACATTTCAGAATTTCTACACAAGTGCAACTAAAGTTAACTAATTCAGAATAGATTCACTAATTAGTCCTGATTGTTATAATGCCCTGTCTATGATTGATACCTAGAAAGTTATAAAGCAAATATTGCAAGGAGGGAATTATGGTTCTACTTCAGAGTGAACCTGTATACTAAATAATTTGCATAAATCGGCCCCAAATATATTGAATACATCATATATCATAGAGATGCATTGTGTATTTGATGTAAAGTAATGGGATTTAATCACCATACATCATTCCAGTGCAGCCATTTTCTTAACTTCGTTGATTCCTCAACTTCGGAACCTCCTCTGCTCTTCTTTGATTTATCCTGATTGGGCCAGGCAAACTTCCTCAGTGATGCAGACATGCTGGCCTCACTCCGTTCATATTTTGTGTCCTTTGCACATCTGTTTTATTATGAGGAAATTCCTCCATATACACTCCATATTTGTATTCTGCAACTGTTCTTGAGTACAATTTAGCCCCACATGTATACCTTTACCCCTCAACCTACCCCTAATCTTGCCCCTAATCCTAACTCAGCTCGGGTTGCTGGGGTCTTACTTGCTTCTTCTGGTATTCTCCCAGAAGCTGCAAGCTCTCTAAATGCGTCTTCTTATCGGTGCCCACATTTATGTCTGAATTTGCTTCCAAATTAGTGTCTCAGTGAAGCATATGCTATACTAAATGGGCACGCTGCAATGATGTCAGGGATTGCGCTGATACATTTTGGTACCGCCCGCAAGTCATTTGGAACTCTAAAATTCTGTTTTCCAATACGAATCAAGCCCTATCTTTTTATATTAACCTGTCTTAGTTGCCCTGTTGTGTTTTTTTGATAGCCCAATAGCGCGTTCTTGTATTCTCTGCTTATCAGGTATCTGACTATTGGTTTGTTCAAACATTTATCCTGACTTCTGCATTCCTTTGACTTGGCTTGTATCCATTTATTCTCTTATCTCCTATGCTTGATCTCTCTTATTCTCAGACTCAGTTCTCCATTAGCCCGACCATTCTAAAGACCCTCTAATCCTACCTCAGAGGGATACCCCAGGAAGGATTTCCCAGCTCACACAATACAGAGCATTCTGGGAGCTCTGTATTGTGTGATTGCAGTATGAGAGCAAGATCTCATGCCGCAGCTCCTGCACACAGTAATCGGTGCTGGTCAGCTGGCAAACCCCAACACTGATTACTGGGCCGAGGGGGATTTCCCTAGGGCAGACATTGCTGGGGCAGGTTCAGAATCACCACAGTAGAGCTTACCGCATAGCTTACTTTGTGCGCAGCACACAACCCATCTGTCAGTCTGGGGACACTAAAGTTAACTGAGGTTCCCTGATTTCAACTAAGTGCAGATTGAGATACACCACAGCTGAGCACAATCATTTGGCCTCAATGATTTAATAGCATTTAAAGGGCTATGTGCAGTTCTCACTTTGAGCACTGCAAACAGTACATCTGACAGTCTGGGGTGGCCCACAGAGGGAATTATATCTGGGGTCCCCCAGTACCAACGGGGATTTAACCCTTCTAGACTTTTACCACATGATATTCTATGTGGTCAACAGGTCACTGGCAAAGCTAGCAAAGCATCAAGGGAGATGTAGTCCACAAAGTCTTAAGTGCCAATGGTTGCCTACCCCTGGCATAGCCCATCATCCGATCCTTACGTGATTAACAGAAACAAACCTGAATTGAGATTGACAGGCTGCCTGGTTGACCACTCTGAGGGGCTGGCTTAGAGCTTTAATTATTTTTACACATTGCTGCAGTTTTACCTTTCACTTAAAGGACCACTCTAGGCACCCAGACCACTTCAGCTTAATGAAGTGGTCTGGGTGCCAGGTCCTTCTAGGCTTAACCCATTTTTTCATAATTATAGCAGTTTCAGAGAAACTGCTATAATTATGAATGGGTTAAGCCTTCCCCCTAATCCTCTAGTGGCTGTCTCATTGACAGCCACTAGAGGCGCTTGCGTGCTTCTCACTGTGATTTTCACAGTGAGAGCACGCCAGCGCCCATAGGAAAGCATTATAAATGCTTTCCTATGAGACCGGCTGAATGCGCCACAAGAGCCTTGCCGCTGCAAGCATTCAGCCGGCAGTATGATCGAGTGAGAGTCACCAGCTGAAAAAAGGTAAGTTATTACCCCTTTCCCCCTTCCAGAGCCGGGCGGTAGGGGGACCCTGAGGGTGGGGGCACCCTCAGGGCACTATAGTGCCAGGAAAACGAGTATGTTTTCCTGGCACTATAGTGGTCCTTTAAAGCTGAGATTTTACTTATAGTTCCTTATGCCCCATCAACATTGCAGTTCTGAAAAGTTGTGCTGGTGCTTAAAGTGACCCTTTAATTCATTATTTCCATAAAGAGAGTTGTTTCCCTTCAGGCTTTAATATTTAACTTCAGATGGAAATGGTCATATTAAGCTACTCCTATTTCTGTGTCATTATGAGTTTAACTTTTATGCGGTCATTGAAGCTATAGGAGATATGTCATATTATTTGAGCTGTTAATACGTTTCTCTTGTTATTGTTCGGTGGGGTGTCCGATTGCGGGTCAATGAAAGGAATCAAAGCCCACAGGCTACTGAAAGCAGGATGTTTTTTTTTTTTTTTTTCCTAAGGAAACATCTGAAAAATCTTTGTTCCTCAAAAGCATGGTGCGCAGATCTAAGACAGCCTAGATCGATGCA